TCGGACACGGAATTATTGACCTTGACATAACCTTCACATAACCTTGACATGACCTTGACATAACCTTGATATAACCTTGATATGTCAAGGTTATGTGAAGGTCATGTCAAGGTTATGTCAATTTTTGAGATATGTCAAGGTTATTGATAATATTCTTCATATTTCTCTAACAAACATATCCCTTTCGTCCTTTAACACGGTTATTATTTATTAAATTAGCTTTGCGAATCATTCGTTGCACTGTGTTCGGACACGGTATCATTTACGTACTTTGTTAATCTTCACTGTACACCTTGCTTAAAAATTTCATATGTTACACACAAGGTGTCGTGCACACTAGAAAATTAAAACGGCCGTCACGGTTAAATTACTTACTATTTCGGGTCCGAAAAATTAGAAAATATTCTTCAGACGTTCTAAAGTAAAGGTGAACAGCGTTTTTCTTAAAAATATCACTGTTACGTAGTAAAAAAAATCCCGAAAGTTCTCGCTTCGTGATTTGTTCAATACTTCGAACGCGACTCGAGTCCGTCCCGATCATCTGTCAAAGCCTCGTGCTGCGGGCTCTCGAACTTCGCGCCATCACCTCTCATTGGTCAGTGTTTTTCGTTAATAACTCGTAAACAAAGCCGCGGATTGCATTTTCGCAAACGAAAAAGTTACTTCAAATGACCTCAGCTACCCCTCATTTTCGGCTGTTAAAATAATTGTGGACATATATATGTAATTATATGTATATATATAGTATATATATAATTGTGTCATATATATGAGCCGTTTATTTTGAAAGTGGCATAAATCTCTTTACCGTAATGAAAAGTGGTGATATTTTAATGTTTACACGAAATTATTTATACTGAGAAAACTACCAGTATCCTGAGATAACAAATACAAGTAAATCTTCTCGAAAGTTAGCGTCCATATTTTTAAACGTGTTAAAACGCAAATCCTTAAATACATCGACTTAAAAACAAAGTGACTTATGCCACCTTCAAAATAAACGGCTCATATAGTAACAGTTGAATGTAGCACCGTGGTTACGCGAAACGCGATCTTAAAGGCCAGGATGATAACATCGGTGTCATTAATTCGGAGTCGATAACAGAAAGATTTAAGGCTAAATGTAATTGAACCGTTCCGACAAAATACATTCTGTTAGCGGATGCACAGTTAGCTTTAATACGAACCCATAAACGGTTCGACGTATTGATTGCCGAGGAATTGTTGTCCGGCATTTTTTACCTCGAGGGACTTCGTTAGTTTCGCGTGTTGCGCTTAATGCGCCCATTAAAGTGTTTCGTACGTCGCATCCGAGATCGCGTGTAATTCAAAGGGATGCAATTTCTTTAAACGCGCCGAAGCCCACCGCGGGACGTAAAGAAATCTGGGGTACAGGGTGGCGGGCAATTTTTCGCGCAACGAAAAGGACGAAATTTATTACGTAAAGACCGAACGAGAACAAAAGAAACGTTACACGACACGCAGAGCTTCGCGTTTTCGGACCATGCTTTTTTTCGGAATTTTTATTCGTCGCTAGATTGCGAACCTTCGAGCATTCGTGGTACGAAGATATTCCGGCAGAGAGCAGTTGTATTCTTGCGGCATGATCGCTGATACAAGGTCTAATAGCATGATCGTGCGGTAAATTATTACAAACTGTACAGCCAACTTCGATGACTTAAATCATCTTGGTTTAGTTGCTGTTCACGAAATTTCTCGTGTTTCGTTGATTCGTGACATTGGAAACTTCATTCGTGGATGGAAATAATATCTGTATTTTTGTTAAATACGCTATTCGATTATAATAATTATATTATAAAATTCAGATTATAAATCTTATATTACTATATTACTATATTACTATATTAGTGAAAATAACACGGTGTTATTGTCAAATAAATTAACGGTCCAAATATGTACTTTAAATTTATTTAAAAAATAATGCTATGTGACTTCTATATCTAGT